GGGTCAACTTTGTGGGCCCCTGTCTCCTGAATAATACTTTATTCTTATTAATCAAATCAAGTAGTAACACTTTTCTACAGGGAAAATAAGAATTCTGATAACCATGAGGAATATTGTACGGAGGAAAAAACCTGTCTGGCCAAAAACACAACTGCATTTGTCTTTTTTTAAATTATATTAGAGAAACGACAAGGTTTCAGTCAAAAAAAAAGAAAAACAGCTGGATAAGGAAGTGATACTGGATTATATCTCCATTCTTCTTCAGGGATCTAACAGCCACACCGGCTCATTCAGAAAGCAGACTGTATCTCCCAGGATCAAAGCACTTGGTCTTTGCTGACCTACAGCACGCCCAAAATAGCTCCGTCACGTGGCTTCAACCAGGGTGAAATGAAAGCTCTTGCTAGCACAAAATGCCCCGTACAATTACACACTGCGATTTGTTTCAGGAGAGCTCAGGTTATTTTATATACTGGATGTATGACTTTCCTCTTAATTTACATGCAATACTGGCTTGGCTTTCAAAGCTACAGTGCTTTGCACTAATGACCTCTCAGTGCTGCTCAGCGTCCAGCAGAAGCATTCATTTAAAATTCCAAAAGTTATAATAACTCCCAGAAAAGGTCCAACAATTATAATATCTAAATTGCCTTCTAAAGCCTACCCCTATGTGTGTCAAATAAAATCAGCAACGTACATCTCTGTATTATTCGATGTATTTCAAAGTAGGATCATTTTTGATACATTGAAGAGAGGTGCCTCTTTTATCTACCATAAATACAACAAGTATACACCATAAGCTTGACCATCAAATTAGCCATTCAGTATTTTGTGACAGTTTAAGTATATAGTTGCAGACATATTTGAGCCCTTCAGAAATGAATGAAATACTTGAATTCAAAGGAGGAAGAGGAACGTTCTTTCAGGATTGAGTGCTTTGGAACATGTATGTTAGGAAACATAAACTGAAAACTGTAATACACTATAATGTTCAATGTAGTATAGAACAATTATGGGGGGGTTTATGGATGATAAAGAGGCTTGAGGTATCAGCTGAGGTTGCATTAACAGACATCACAGACAGTAGAGAAGGGCATTTAGAAGACATTAAATGAATAGGCCATTTACAATGAGGTGTACTTTACATTTGAGATGTCTCCAGAGCGTCTTTGGGTTACAGAAAAGCGCTATATAAATATAATTTATTATTATTATTATTATTATATTTACCAAGTCTATAAGGAAGTTGTGGTTTTGGTTTAGTTTAGTTTTTTTCAGCAGAATTGCAGATAAACTACTGGCCCAATTTGGAAACTTGGTGGAAGGGTGTAGCGTAGGTCAAGGAAGAACTCATTAAAATGTGGAACAGATCCAAATCACAGGGTGGACACATGCATTATTTAACACTTAAGGAAACAGCCTTGGCGGAACTCTGCACTCTCCAAGGAGTTTCTGTTTTCAGCTCAGTTTGTTTTTAAAGTTTGTTAGTCTGTCTGCCAGCAGGAGAACAGAAAACTCCTGGCACAATTGTAGGAATCTTGGTGAAACAATTGTTCATCATTATTGGTTTGTTAAAGGGGGCCTTATAATGTTCCTTTTCAGGTTCATATTAGTATGTAGAGCAGTGACCACCAACTGGTGGCCCGCGGGCCAGATCCGGCCCGCCAGACATTCTCATCCGGCCCGCACGACGGGGGTGACTGTGGCGTTGGCGGAGTGGTTAGTGCGTTCGCCCCCCACCAATTTTTTACAACATCTCGTGAGTAAGGTGCAGTACCGGAGTCCAACAGAGAGGCAGCAGCTGCGGGACAGTAGACTGCGTACTACGAAACCTTCCCTGCCTTGAAGAAGAAGTGATCCTTCGTTGTGAAGAGTCTGCTTTGTGCGCTCCGCAGTCCGCACGACCACAGCAGTAGCCCCGCTGCGACAGAGTCCAACAGAGAGGCTGGAGCTGCGGGACAGTAGCCTAGAAGCAGGGTTGGGTTGTAACGGAATACATGTAACGGCGTTACGTAATCAGAATACAAAAATCAAGTAGGCTAACTGTATTCAGCTGGCGTTACATTTGAAAAACGAGTAATCTGATTACAGTTACTTTCGTAAACCTGAAGTGAATACATTTTGGAATACTTATTGGAATTATTGGTGGAAAAGTTT